GCTGCGGACGGAGAGACAGACAGAGCGACACACGCTGCTGCTGTCCCGGAGTTCTCCCCAAACGCGCGTTTTCTGAGGGCCTTACCCCCCCGCAAAATGCACTCGGGTGTTTGCCTGTCCGGTTTGTTTACAGACCTTAGTGATCTAAGTAATCTAATTGCAATTAAATCAACTGAGCGCGATCTCAATTTTCTCTTTTTGTCCTATTTCCCCTCGGTTTAGCCGAGAAGTCTGGCTCAGATAAGTCTTTTTCTCTGTGCCGAGGGTGTGCCTTACTTGTGGCATATCAGTGCAAGCCTTCCGTAGGGGTGCGTGCGGATTTATCGGGGTTCGTGTGCCGCACTCTGACGTGTAGCAGAGTCTTGCTGCATTTCTGGTGTGAGTTCAGAATATGAACCAAAAGGAAGGGGAGTGGGTAGTGGGTTGCTATTTTTGAATGATGGATATGTGCATTTAACTTGCAATGGATGGGGAGAGTTCTTGAATCCTTACTGTACTTTTTGTAATACTGAGGTGGCTGCTGGCTTCCTCCTCACCTTGGATGACACCACCCCAAGAACTGTGTGGAGAGCTCTTTGCTGAGCCAGCTGTGCTCCCACTGAGACCAGTGCCAACAGCAGCCACCAAGTGAGAGGAAAGAAATAGGGCTGTTCTCAGTTGAACCAGTGCCTTTAAAAACCTATGGAAGGTACTATTAGCCAAAATGCACATCACTGTTTTTTTCAAACTCTGAGTGAAACACTGATGTAGGATATGAGAACAGTAGTACAAACAAGGTGCAGAAACCATCCTTTTCATAAGTCCATAGTGTCACCATGAAAATTAAGCCTTCTGATAATATTTTCGTAGTTTTAGTTACTTTCCCAATTAAAGTTCCATAAACATAAGTCGTTTATCACATTCCTTCTAAGAAATGTCTTTTGATGGGCATTTCTCATGACCAGTGTGCTTGGGAAGGTGGTAACTTAATTATCCAATCTCTGGTCATTGTTGAGAATATAAATACTGGAGTCAGAGAATAAAGGGGGCTTTTCTGTTCTGAGAGTGTTTGTGTGAATCATTTTGTGTCCTTTAGCGACACCATAGGATTTTTATTTCTGTAGGAACTTCATGCTCATTTGAATGGCAGTATCAGTTCTGCTACTATGAAGAAACTCATGGCTCAGAAGCCAAACCTTCAGATCCAGAATGGAATGACTGTAATTGACAAAGGAAAGAAAAGAACCTTAGATGAGTGAGTATGTGCATGTGTGTGATGAACATGTACCAAAGGTTTTTTAATTAAGTTAAAACCAGAAATATGTGCCCTTACACAATAAAAGCAGAAAATATGTTTTTAAGTTTTACAGCATAATCTCAGATTTTTTTGTTATTTGTATCTATAGAGTGATTTCTTAGGTGCTTGCAAGCTAGAAGGAAAACTTGTTGATTAGTTCCTTTTTTAAAGGATTGAATTTTTTCACTAAGATCATATGCTTTTCAGAGAAAATTGACTTGTTGAAATTGAAAATTGAATAGTTTCTTTGGAAACTTCATGTTTTCCTTTTCCTTCAAAAGGCTTTGTGATAGTAACAATTTCTGTTGCAAATGCTTTGTTAGTATCTAAAATCAAATATTGCTGTTCAGATGGTTCTTTGTATTTCAAGCTACAGTCTGGTGAGTTGACTCCAGTGGGTAGGTGTTTTTAAAATGTAGATTTATTTTTTTTTCCTAAATACTCATTCATTGTCTTTCCAATTAATTTTTTAAAATTTTATTTCAGATGTTTTCAGATGTTTCAGATCATCTATCAGGTTACCACGAGGACTGAAGATATTTTGCTGGTAAATTAATTAAAAGTTCACTTAAGCAAGCAGTACACACAGTCACAGTCAGTTGGATTAAGAGCCTTGGGTTCCAAGTAACAATATCAACAATGGTCCCTTTCAATTGAAGGTCAGAATAATTATTGTAAAAGACCTGGACTCTCTTCACTATCCCTGAAGGAATCAAAGGCTCCTTCTGTGTGGCAGTATTTCACTAAAAACATACTGGGCCTGAAGACATTGCAAGTTTTTCACAACAAAAAATAACCAAGTCTTTTAGTTGTGAAGGAAAATATAAGTATCACTTTTATGATGTTGAATACCCTTTTACTTAATCAGATAACTAAAGATGTCATTAAAGAATTTGCTGATGATGGTGTCAAGTATCTGGAACTGAGAAGCACTCCAAGAGAAGAAAATTCCACAGGTACAGTCTTTTCTGGTTTTTAATTTGTGATCTTCTTGCACTATAAAACTTAGTTAAACACTATGTTAATAACAAGAAAAGTCAAATTTAGTTGGCTCAATAAAAATATTCTTTAAATATCAAAGCTAGATTTAACCATGTAAAAGCATGTCATTTTGCTATTAGATTTTTGAGGACAAAAATGTGTTGGTCATAAATTTATGATACAATTGGGTTATTCACTTGAGTATGGCATCTGAGTCTGCTAATATTTTTAGTAGCTAGCTAATATATTTTACTTTTGTTATTTTGGTTTTTTTCTTCTAGGTGTGATTTAGTAGAAACACATAATGGAAGTCCTATTCCGATTCTCTCATTCGCACAAAGTCATTTAATTTTTCCACATCCTTAGGATGAGGTTTAGTTCAAATGTGTGGTTCACAGTAAAGCTATATTTACAGATAGAATTAGAATTACATGGGTTAGAAGACTATATGGTCTAAAATCAAAGGTGCAACACGAAACCTAGGAGACTAGAGAGCTGGGTCTGCAATATAATAAAAATAATTTAAAATATGTTTGTTCCAAATGTGTGCATGTGTTTGCAGGTATGACCAAAAGGATGTATGTTGAAACCGTACTTGAGGGGATAAAGCAGTGTCAAGAAGAAGGCTTGGATATAGATGTAAGGTAAATAAAGCATATGGAATATATCTGTTTCAAGGTTTTGTGTAGTCTGATGACTTTGTAGTCTGCTTCATGTTTGCAGACAGGTTTACAAGCCATCAGTGTAGGAATGAAAATTGTTTTTAAACTAGATTACATGGAGTGGAAATAGGTAATTCATATAGAAACTTGACTTTTTATCTTCTTTTTTACTGCTAAAGAAAAGTGGGTAAAGCCTCTCATCTCTAAGACTGTCCATTCTTTGCAACATTTTCAGGAAAAGAGGTGTTTTTCATGGAATTGGCTCATTTTTCACAGCTTAGCTTAGTTGCAAAGATTTTGTTGGTTAACTGTACAAGCAGCCTGCTGTAAAGAAGAGCTGGTCCTGACCAGCAGAAAAGTTTCAGAAGGTGTCAGTGGTTGTTTGGAGAGTTTGCTCTCCTGTCTTTTATAGCCCCAGTAGCAAGCCTTACTAGATTTATTGGTGAAAGCTGAAGAATTTTCATCCTTCATGTGTGGTATTGCTTGTCATGAGCCAACTTATTTATCTGTTTGTGTCCCTCTGCACTTTGGTACCTTCATCCCTAGAACAGTTTCCAAGTACAATATTCTTTATGCTCAGCCATGAAGGATATGAAGTGCCATTTTTTTATTGGTATCAGATCTGTTGAGCTTCTGATATTACAGCTTGGATATAATTTAATAATAATTTAATTTAATAATTTAATATATTTCTGTCCCAGGCTGTTAATAGCAATAAACAGAAGACATGGCCCAGCAGTTGCTAAACAGACTGTTAAACTTGCTGAAGAGTTCCTGCTTTCCAGTGATGGGGTTGTAGTAGGACTTGACCTCAGTGGTGATCCCACTGTAAGTTTTTGGTTTATTTTATTCTGGTCTTGAAAGATCCTTAGATTAGTATGTGACTGAGAAAAGAACCATTGAAAAGCAGTGTTTATCTGGGAAGTGTCTATACCTGAGTTGTCCCAGTCAGATTAAGTGTGTGAAGGCAAGTTGTCAATAGTTTAAATTTTGTTTGGCTGCACCAAATTCTATTTTGCATAAATAAAACAAAAATATTCAAAGGCAGCTGTCAAGCTGAAGTGAAATATCTCTAGGTGGTAGCTGTGTAAAAGGTATAAAAACCAAGAAAATTGGCTTGTAAGTCTTAGGTATCATCTGAGCTACTGGTGTTTGATCCATTCCTCTAAACCATATGGCAGAGGGTTTGATTCGCTGCATTCCAAACTGAAGTAATGGGAAAAGTGGAATAATTAAATATAACTGTATTTGAATGTAGTGTTTGGCTATTGCTAGACTTCTTAATTATGGTAATGACAGGGATTTTGTCAAATAAACTGTAGAATAGTGATGTGTCCCTGTTTTCCAGGCAGGACATGGTCAAGATTTTTTGGAACCTCTCTCAGAAGCAAAAAAAGCAGGTCTCAAGCTGGCACTCCATCTTTCTGAGGTAAAAGAATTCTCTGTTTTGGTGCTTCTCTGCAATTGTCATTGTGTGAAAATCTTGACAAAACTAAGATTGTCTTCCGTGCATTTTGATCTTCTCAGGCCAAAGTATTAATGGTTTGGGGCATTTGACAACAGACAGGAAAACAAGGAGAAATCTTCAACCTTTTGTTCTAAGTCTGAACAGCCAGATTATTGCTTCCTGTACTATATCTATTGTGGGTTTAGGTGTGAAATTGAAATTAGGAGCTTTCTAAGAGATCCACTTCTTTCTTCCTGGTATTATCATGATAGTGAAATCTACAGTTTCAGGAGCAGTGAGCTCTATTAGTTCCACTGGTATCAGTACAAAGAATTTGGCTTCTGCTCAAATGATGGCTCTGAGAAGTCCAATAAATACTGAAGATAGTTATTTTTCAGTAAATTAAGCAGGACATGTGATGTCATCAACATGTTTATATTTGTTCCTATTTCGCTAACACTTTCTTTCAGATAAGAGATGCTGTGAAAGTGGAACTGAAAGTCCATTGTAATTATATAATGTGCTGTTTTATGCTGCCTTGACAGAATGTGAAATATATCCTCTCTAGATTCAAAATCAAGAGGAGGAGACCAAGATTCTCCTGGGCCTGCCTCCTGACAGAATTGGACATGGAACATTTCTCAACTCCACAGCAGCAGGTTCTGAAGAGATAGTGTCACTGGTTCACCAGAATCATATACCTATTGGTAAGGAAAAAAATACTTACCATGACTTGAACTTTGGATATCAGAACAGGATATGTACTGCTGATCTAGTGGCACCACCTCTGACCAGAGGTGACTTGGACAGACGTGGCAATGAGTCTTGCCCATAAAGCTAGACTCATGACACTTGCGGGTTTTTTTGGCTCCTCTGTGGAAGCAGACAACACTTGATGTCTCAGATAGAAGCAAAACCAAATCATAATTTTTCATTACTATACAAGACTGTGTGGTGGTTCTGTACCTGCTTTGCAAGCTCCCTAAATTTTTATACCCCAAAGAAATTGATTAGGAAACTTTTCTCAAAAGAAATTACCAAAGAAGCATGGAAAATTAAGGAAACAACAGTAGCTGATTTTAATTTTTATTCAGGACCTTTCTAAGTCAATTAGCATGTCTCTTGTTTTGATATATGTCCCCATTTCTTTTTCTGTTTTTCCCTTTAGAATTTTGCATGACATCAAACATAAAATCTCAGACAGTGCCTTCCTGTGACAAACACCATTTTGGATACTGGTACAGCATGGGCCATCCTGCAGTGCTTTGTGTAAGTTTTTTGATTTTTAAGCATGTATTTAGGAAAAGGGCTAAAATTGTGAAGTTAGAGAAGTCTTTCTCTGTTTATGGATCAGAACTGACTTAAAATTTTTGACCTTGTAGCAAATAATTTGCTTTTAGGAAATCATGATGTTCTGTTTGATAAATGCTTTTAATTCAAGTGGGAATTGCTAGTATTTATCTTGGTTCTATTGTAAAGCCAGGCCTTTTTTCTGTGGGATAAGATGATCAGCTATACAAGCAGTGAATTTTATAACTCTTTGCACAATGACAGATTTCTCTTAAAACCCATGGCTCCGGTGCTTGCATGTGCACCTGTGCTTTCCTGGGTGTTCATTGTGTTGGGTGAGAGCTCCTGCCTTCTCTTGATAGCTCATTGAGGTCTTTAAGCATTCAAGGTGCTGAGTACTTGTGGTGCCACTGACAAGGTTTCACTATTATCCTGTTAGTTTAACCCCCATAATCCATAGCATTGTCCTGGTGTGTGTGTGTATATAAACATATATTTAATAGCACTGTGTTTGCCTGGGAAAAGAGGAATAAGGAGACCTGCACGTACTGACATACCTTGAATATATGCAGCATTTGATAGCCATCTTTCTAGAAATTTTAGTAGGAAATCCTGTTTTCTTGATAAATCATGCCATCATTTTAATAAGTTTTCTTATATGTTTGAATAATTTACTAATTTTTAGTGAAAATAGGGCAAATAGAGAATGAAATAACCACGCACAGATGAAAGAACAGTGGAATAAAATGGGAAACACCAAGATAAACCTGGTTTGTACATATAGGAAAAAATCTTTTTGATATAGAGGAACTAATTTAAACTTTTTTCTTCTCTTTCAATTTAACTCCAGACTGATGATAAAGGCGTCTTTGCAACTGATCTATCGCAAGAATATGAGCTGGTTGCAAAAACATTTAATCTGACTCGATCACAGATGTGGGATCTTTCCTATGACTCAATCAACTATATTTTTGCTTCAAATGCAGTAAAATCCAAGTTAAGGGAACAATGGTGTAAGCTGAAGCCAGCTCTGTTTGATTAATCACACTGTTGTCCTAAATAGCTTAGGTGTATTAGCTGACTTAATAAGCTTTTTATATTGAAGTCCCCAGCCTTTTTCAGACCTCAGGGTTTTAAACCCAGCCGTAAACTGCCTGTGCACAATGAAGGCAACTGGAATGCGTCCCTTGTTACTGGGGACAGAAGTAAATATGCTTTTGGTAGTTGGGAAGGGCTTTCAGCCAGTGACTAAAATGCCAAATGTGTTGTCACCTTGTTTCTTTTGAGCTGATATGACATTTTAAACAACACTTAGTTGAAATATGTCATCATAATATGAACATTTGAGAGCTGCAACAAAATGAAGGCAGAGCTATTGATGTTTAAAACATCTCTGTTGGCAGCATTCCGCCAAGCTGTTTGAATGTGTGGTGTGTATTTTTGGGGTTTGTATTGTTTTCAGGTTTTGAGCTGTTGATTGGATGTGAAAACAGAGACAAACTCAGGGAGAACAAAATATTTATCCCAAGGAATTAATATTGTATCTGTTTTTATTGCTGTACATGTATGACTGAAGCTGCTGTGATGGAGTAGCATGTGGGGGTCTGTTGGTGCCCTGGGCACTGGTGGTGTGTAGGCACTTAAGAATCTTGAATGCCTTCAGTAAGTGAGCTACTTGGCAAAGTGGTCTCATTCTTAAAATGCTTTTTAGAATTGCTGTTTGTTGTGTAAAAAAAGAATAAAAATCTCCGTGTTTTTGAAACCACCACTTCAAGGTGTGCATGTGCGTGTTTGAGCTCTGCAGAAGAGAAGCGGGATTCTGTGGGGCGAGTCCCTGGAGCAATCGTGCTGTCTGCCAGCCTCTCCCCTGCTGCTCCGGCAGCCACAGGGTTCTCTGTGCCCGCTCCAAGCACCTGCCTGTGAGTTCTGGTGCTGAGAGCTCACAAAGTGTGAATGTGCACATGCTGCAGTTTGTATAACAGGAGTTGGGAGGTCACCTGGAGGATTCCATTTGCGTGCAGTAAAAGAACCAGGAATGTACGTGGATGGCTGAGGAGCAACGCACGCAACTGGGATTTCTCTGTATAGGAGTCTGAGTTACTGCTGTTATTTACACAGCAGAAATGTTACACTTAGGAAATTAGACGGGATGTGGACTTTTGGAATGAAGAAGAATCACCATCTGATGAGACCTTTGTCATGCACAGTTCCCAAGCTGACCGTTGCAACTTGAAACACTCTTACTGTCCCTGAGCTAGTTTAACTTTTCTAAGTAAAACTGCTGTTTCCTTCTTTGACTGCATGTAGCATTATAGCTAGTTTTAATTTAAGCACTTCTTCCTGAGCCTGCTTGTCAAATTCTGAGTTAGCGGTGACATAATCACTGTTTAGTTTATAATACTGTATAAAAGTGATTGTGACACCAAGTGAAGCATCACCACAGAATTAATCATAAGAAATGGGGCAGAGAAGACTTTTTTCCTGAATGCAATGGAAATTTTGAGTAACTGCTACTAGAATTCATGTGGTATGAGATTTAAGTTATCTATTCATGTGCAGCTCAACTTGTTTTTAAAGTAAACAAAATAGATCTAGAGTTAATATTTTTATTTCCATCTGATTATACAAGAGAACACTTACAGAGCAGTCTCCAGTACTCAGAGTTTTTACTCATGGAAATGCACACTGGTACTATTGAATACTGCTTTGGTGATGTATGTGAGAACAACTGCTCACTGTGGCATTGGTTTCTCAGTTCCTTCTGAGGCAAACACAGGAAGTCTTCAAAACCTCAGCTCCTTATGATGAGACTAACATTCCATAGCTTTTCATAATACAACCACTAAACCATACATAAGTACATACTGCTCCTCAGGATCCTAGCTTGGCAAATAATGTACTTACATCAGTGATTTATATGCCTGCTTGAATATTTAGGTGTTTCAAAATAATCCATTAAAAAGAATGGATGCAGGTAAGGGCCCTGCATTAGCTAAGCAATTCAGCTGATTAAAAGGCTGGCATGTCCCTCCTGTGAGGCCTAGAGAGCAGGCGCTGGCTAGATTGGAATGGAGAGGGCTCTGGGGGAGGATCTAATCAAGGTTTTTAATATCTGATGAGAAGAAGTGAAGAAGATGAAGCCAGGCACTTCTCAGCGATACCCAGTAACAGGAAAGGGGCACAGACTGGTTCTGTGTGGGTGGTTGAATATGGGAGCACCTCACCCAGACAGTCTGGGGAGTCTGTCCTTGTAGATACTCAAACCTATCAGTGACTTGTATCTTCAGCAAAGGAGGTGGACTGGGCAATCTCCAGAGATGCCTTCCAACCTCATCTGTTCTGTGAAGGAAATAATACAAATATACAAATGATAAAGTCTGTATAAATACAAAAGCTTTTAAAATTAAATACTGACTTAACTGAGTCACTCAAGTGACAATTTTTCACCAGGCTTGGTCACCAGCAGTTGGCTGTTTTGTGAAACTGTTTATAAAGAACAGTCTATTCACCCTTCATAGCCTTCCTTCTTTCACAGCCATTGTGGAATCCTTTGGTGCCATCAGGACCTTTAGGCAGCCGCAGCACCCTTACAGGGAGACCATCTGCATTTTGTATTTTCCGAACCAACATGGGACTGCTGACAGGACTCTTCTCTTGTGTCAGAGTTTGGGCTTTTCTTCTCTGCACCCAGGGGCTCCCAGAAGGAGTGATGCTGCTATCTGAGGAATAATCAGTGTATTTCCTTGGAATTTCAGGGCTAGTGCTTGGGTTAAGCTTGCTGTCTTCAGCCAGTGGAGATTTTTTGGCTACTTTTCTTAGTGAAGATGGACTGTTCCAAGGACTTGATCTGGGTGACATATTAGGGCTCAAATGGTTGTTTGGGTGGATGACAGGGCTCAAATTACACGTCGTATTTGACGTGGTACGTTTGCGTCCTGACAGCGGTGACGTAGGATTGCTCTCTGGGTCAGAAGAGCTGTTTGCTGAAGATTCATCACCAGCAAACTGAAGTTCCTCAACTCTCTTGTTAAGGGATCGAGTCTTCTTAAGGCTCTTGCTGGTATCTTCATCACGGTTCTTGTCTTTGGGAACTTTTTTCTTTGGTGGTTTCATGCCTATTAGGACAACTTTCATGCCGGTCTCTTTGTTTCCAGCACACATGAAATCATGAGCACGTACGGCAGCTTCTACTTCTTCAAATTCTATAATTGCACATTCCTGGGTTCCCAGCTGGGTGTACCGATTGCTGACCCTCCTGATATCAGGTGGGAGATCCCTGCCAGGCTTGAGAATGCGAACTGATGAAATTACACCAAAAGTTACAAAGGCTTTGAGGAGATGCTCCATTATCCTTTCTTGCATGCATCCGTTTTCTTCTTTGTTAAGGACCTGCAGCTGAGAAATCATGTGGATATCATACACCAGTAGCATCCTGGTAGGGACATTTTCACTTGGAAACATTGGAACTGGAGTATTTCTTCGAACCTTTTTGTTATCATCATTAAGCTCCAGAGTGTTTGAGTACTTCAGTGCATAGGCTGTGGTCCTCCAGTCACGGGTAAGGTGTTTCACCTTTGGGACAGACACAGGTTAAGCACCACAACTGAGCAAACCCAGTCAAACTAAGCACTGAATTTTAAAGCAGATGCAGGCTTCAGTCTACAAACAGAACCCTGGATTTAAGTTTCATGTAGCAGACTTAGTGAGAAAATAAAGTTTTCATGCTATGACAGGCATCAGTGAGCTCCTCTAAAGCTCATTTCCTGTTGAATCTAATGAAAACATCTAAAGGAACTGGCACTAAAGCTCAAACTGGAAATCATTAATACATCTGAAAGCCTGCTCAAGTAGTGCTTGGTCATTCCACATCATCTTGTCATCTTGGCCTGAACCATGATCAAAATGCATGTTCTAGGGAGGTTACATTTGCCAAAAAAAAGTTTTGTTAAGTTTAGGTCTTCATTGTATTGAACTGATTTTTCCTCCCTCAAAAATCTCAGTCTAAAAAACACCCCAAACTTTCCCATTTTCATTAAATGTTTATAGAGTTTATCTGTCACCAATATAATCTGTTTAAAGTGATCTGAAGAAATTGAGACTGCCTTAACTTCTAGACAGAATAACTCTGTAGAACAGTGAGATTTAGAATCTTGACAAAGTGCTTCTTGTGTAATTCTAGAAATCAGTTACATACAGATTTATATAGGTCTTTCTAAAGTAAGGAGAAAAAAAAAGAAAAAATAATAAAACTCTCTTCATGTTTAGGGGACTTTGGTTACCAGATGCTTTATACTGTGTTTAATTTTTGGTTCTTCATCCAAAAGTCAGATTCACTGTTCCTTCTCAGAGACAGGAATGTAACTTTACCAGGACTACCCAGCTGTTCACAAGTAGTTGCCATGGATATTAATTTTATCTAATGTCCTCCTGTGTCCAAGGATGATAATTTAAAAGCATACAGGCTTTTAAGCCAATGATTTCCTTAGCCAGTCATCAGTGAGTTCAGCAGTTAAAGTTTTGGATGAGTAGCAAATCATAAGGTGCCTGTAGAAGATGTTACTTTAATCTCTTCTACTGTTTTTAGAGTCATCAGACTTGCATGAGACCCTTCAAGTCTTAAAAAGTTACCTTACCTTCTTAAATGAAGTGAGGAGTTTAACACTGACATAGCCCAACTTATTTCTTCTTATGTGCTTCAGAAGGAAGGCATCTTTCTCAAGGTTCTCATCAGAGAAGTAATATTCAATCTGTGCTATTAACTTCTGGATCAGGTCATTTTCTGGTGGTTTCCAGTTCTGGTTAGAGTCATCATCATTTTCTCCACCACTGGAAAACAGTTAAATCATTTTATCAGCAGATTTTCATCTTCTATTAGTGGATTTAAATAGCTTTTCAAAATGAAAGGGCTATAACCATTATGCTGGTTCCAACTGACTTTAAATGTGGGCACTGGACAGGTATCCCCACCCAGCTGAGCCAGCAGGCTAGCTCAGAGGATGAAGATTTCCAGTCAGCATAAGGAGTCAAGTTCCTGAGTTCATTCCAAAAGCTGATCTCAGTGCAGAAAGCACAGCCAACTCATTCACCAAAATATGAAACGAAGGTGCACTGGCACTCGGTACTATATAAGCTCCTCCACTGACAGTGTTACATTTTTCAATATGAAGCTATTAAACCTAGGCCTGGCCTTTATGTGCTTCATGAGTAGTGTCACATACCAGAGAATGAATATTCCAACATGATGCAGTTGTGATTTCTTAAGCCTCCTCACTGCATGAGTGCAGGAGCTGATATCCAGGGAGTAAGAAGGACTGACAAGGACTGCTGCACATTTTACAGGTCACTTCCAGAATGACAGAGTAATATAACCAGCAGTTTACCAAAGGGGCCAAACCTGCCAGATCATGTACCTCAGGAACAGGTTTATAGGCACATATGCACATTCCTAAGAAGTCATTCTCATTTCTTCTCTTTACCTCCCATCGTATTGTCTCAGTACCTGGGTAAAATGGAGCACTGTTGAGCATCCTGTTCTTAAAAAAATACTGTAGCCATGGATTCAAGGTTAATGTCTTGCCACGTGCAGTTACAGCAACATGATTGTTGCTGAAATAGAAATTTACAGGTGACTAAAATGGACAAGTCTATCTTAAGTTGGAATCATCTTTTCCAGCTTTAGTGGTCTAGTTTTGTTGTGGGATCATCATGAAAGTTTCTGTTAAAAAAAGACAATCGTCTACTAAATACCCCATAAATCATGTGTTAGTTTGGTCTCCCAGGTAAGTTAACAATGAAAAGGAGCCATGCATTTCCCCAGAATGATCTGAAGTGGCTTTTGCAGGCTTTGAAATCCTTAGGAAAAGGAGCAGGCATCACACTGGAGGTCTGTGAGGCCGTTCTGGTGGGAGGATGCAGGCAGCTGGATCCCTGCCCCGGACAGTTCTGTGCAGGGGTGATGGAGGCAGTGACCGCAGTGCTGCAGCTGTGCTGCTGTCTGGAGAGAGTGATAGGTCAGTGTGCTCTGCACAGGAACTGTGCCTGCTGCTGGGACAAGTTGCAGCAGTTCTCTGGGACCTGGCTTTTTGAAGCTTACAGTACACTTAGTTGCTACGGTTCTTCTGGTGATAGGGGAACACATCAGATATTTGTGGATACTTGCACAATCCTAGAAGTCTCCCTGTTAAAAACCTCCCTAGCCTTTAATAGGGTATGGTTCAAAGGAATGACAAGAATGAGAGAGCAAGACAAAGAATTTATGTTACTTGGCAAAGCCAGAAGTAGAGGATAATAGATGAAGTTATGATTAGGATGGTAAAAAATACCTAATGCCCAGCTGTGGTTTCAGAAGGAAGCAAAAAATAATGGTGTTTATTTTTCATTCATGGTAATCTCTTCCCACTATTTCATTTACTACTGATTCAGAATTACTCTGGGTACAAGAAGCTTGGAACATTTCAGCCTTTTTTACAAACCCACACTCTGCTGGGAAAAACTTGCCTTTAGTTCAGGATTTGGCTTACATTTATTTCAGGGATTTATTAGCACAGATATTTGCAGGTGTTTGTTTGGAGACAAAAAAGGAATGTTGTGCTTTGGAAAACAACAAAAATTAATTGCATGTTTGCAGAGAACAGCACCATCCCTATCTACAGCTGAACACAATGAATCAGGGTCAAACAGGTCTCATTTCACCTCTCAAATATTGGTCACAGTTTGATCTATACACTATTTGTATGTTTGGCAGACAGGTCAGCTTTTACAAAATCTTACGGGCTCTTACAACAGCCTTCACTAAATGATGTATTGAAATAACACCTACAATAAATGCAGAAATTTTAAAGTAGCTCCATATGACTTTGTGATAATGATCAACTAGTAGCACCTCTAGAGTATCAACTGTATTACAAAAGTAGTTGATAAATAATTTCAGTCAACACTGACAAAGAAGCAAACCCTAGTAGCCATTCACAACTTATTTTTTTATTCAGAGCTTTGTGATGATACGCTTGTAAAACAGAATGAAAAACAATCTTTTAACATGGTGACTCATCTAGCCATTAGTCACACAAGAAACTAAACATATCTACGGAGAAAGCAGATTTGGAATTTTAAATATCAAGACTCACAAATAATAAATTGTTTGGATAGCATCTAAAAATTCTATTTTTTAATATAATCATTTCTATTCTGAAATTATATTTTAGAATAATATGTATTATTTTAGCCGAGTCTCCAAATGAATAAAGTATTGTATTAATTGTATTAATAAGCACTGTGTGGCAATCTAATTTATAAGTTCCAAGAGTACAATCACTCAAGGACAGTCCACGTTTGTCAACAAAAACATTAATACAGTACTGGGTGCCTACTGATGGCAAGTTGTCTGCAAGCTTCAGCTGGGAAGTGTGATGGCTCATTCCCAGCAGTTTTAGATCATCCCTAATAATTCTCAAAATGTTTGCAAATAATTTCCTATCAGGTGCTGCATTCCCAAAAAGGAGATCCTTGGGTAAGGTTATATGTAAATGGCAGAAACATGTGTAAACTCCATCTGCTTTTGGTGGGGAGAGTTGAAACTTGAGAGCTCTCTCCATTGCAATACCCCTGCCATTTACAAAATATACAATACCTCTTGCCATTTACAAAAAGGCAACTTCCACAAGAACTGAATATACATCAACATATTTAAGAATAGCTATTGTCTTTCAAAGCTTGAAAAAACAACTATTTTTTTTTTTCTAGTCTAGGCCAGGGTTAGGAGCTCTTCACAAGTAATACTATCATAGGTAACAAATGCAAATAATATCCCAATTTTAAGAAATCAGTAATTGAAATACAATATTGTAGGCTGCTGTACATATAATATATGTATAAACATAAAATGACAACAGTCACATATAATTGTGGAATAGTTAAGCTGTCTCAGTTTAAAAACCTTAACTGTGCCTAGTTATGTTCAACTCCTCTTTCTGTAGTCCACAGTAGACAATTTTGCCAGCTGCAGAAAATTTCTTACTCCCCTTCTACCCCTCTGTAATTTATAATACTACATTTCAGTTCATTCTGAGTCAATGCTAGGTATGAAGTTAGAAAATCAATAGAATTGTTAGAAACAATAACATGTTATTGCTAGAAACAATAAATGTTCAAACAGAACACTGGATTTCTTGCTACTGTACCTAAATCTTTATGTGACAATTTATGACGCCATCTGCAGCTTTAGTACAAACCACAAGATGAACTACAACTAGTAGAGCTTTGTCTCTTTGCAGCTTGCTGGCACAAAAATCCTGCATGTTCGTCTCACAAGTAAGAGATTCTAGTAAGCATCAAAACTATTTCAGGTCAGCAAGCCAAAACGGGCAAAAGAGGAAAACAACCAAAACATGAAATCCAAAACAAAACTCCAAGACGCAGCTACAACTAACCCCCAAAATCTTTCTGTAAAACGCAGTGAATTGGAAATGTGGGGGGCATCACAGCCCGGCGCTTCTCGCTGTGGGGGAGCCGCGGTCCCGGGCCCGGCAGTCCCGCGGGGGCCGGGTGGGACACAGCCCGGGCGGAGCCATCGGTGCGGCGGGCAGCTCCCTCCCGGCCGCCGGCCGTCCCTGCTGGAGGCTTTCCAGCGTCTCCCACCCGTTCCTCGGCGTTGCATCAGCCGGGCCCGCTCCGTTCCGGGGGTGTCCGCGGCGGCCCCGCTGTTCTCCCGCACAGCCGCGCCCGCACCGCGCCCCCGCCGGAGCGGAGCCCCT